ACTATATTTTTTTTTTCATACCAAGGTCAATATTGTTTGAGCATAGATATTCAATTTTTGGGAGTCTCTGGTTGGCTGACTGGCTCTGCTCTACGATATGTTTGAAAGCCAAAAAATGTACGGCCAATTAATAGTTATCTACAATAACAACAAATATTTTTTTTATTATTATTACTATTCTAATTATAATTTCTATGCATTACTGTTATGTATAACCCAGGTGTGTGTGTGTGATCGTATTTGTGACCTTTAGTTATGGCTCCGTCCGCTACACAAAATTTTTGTTTATCATATTACGTGATTACGATAACATACCAATATGGTTGATGGTTATGGGGTTCTAAATCGTTTCGTATTATTATTTTTATTTGAACACACTTGGTGTTGTTGTAAAATTATAACATGTTAATTGTTTTTTGTATTTTTGGCACCACACAAATTTAGTACTTTTATTATCGAAAAATATATAGTACGGGCTAAATATGAACATTGTAAATTAACTAACTGGTCTGAAGCAGTTATACCGCCGCAATTCGTTCAGAAAATATCAATGAGTATTTTTTTGGGGAGGTTTGAAGATTAGAATTTCGTCAAGTCATTGAAGAATTTTTTTGTCGTGCGGCTTCATGTTCGTCAATCACAAAAAAATATTTCCATTGTTGTAGTTTTTTTCCAACTTACGTTTCGAAAAATTTTGTTGAGGTAGTATTATGGGAATTTTTTTGTTTCGGGGGTTTACTGATAAGATGCATATTTTCGGTTTTAGTTTTTTGGGTTTTAATAATGAAAAATTAATTTTTTTCCTCGTAGTTTTATTAATTTTGGATTTCAGATTTAAAAACCGAAATATTCGAACGTATACGTAGTGGCAATACGTATACGCCATTAAATAATAACAGAGAAGGCTTTTAGCAATGGTTTTTCTAGGCGTATACGTATTGCCAATACGTATACGTCATTAAATATTCAAGATAATACTCACATATATATCAAGAGAAGAACTTCAGAAAAATAAAAATTTTTATATTTTCATAAATTTCTTTAATTACCAGAGATATCATGAAAAAATATTCACATATTGCAATTTCGAAATATGAAGATATTTTTTGTGCATTCATTTTCCACGAGGCATAACTTTGGCAATTATTAATCGATTTACAAGAATGAACATGCTATGGAAAGGGAAGACTCTCAGGAAAAAATATAAATTATTATATAAATTAAGCTGCCTAAATATCGGAGTTACAGTAAAAATGGCAAAGGAGTAGGAATTTTTTTTCCCTGGGGTATGCTTTGAGCAAGATCATTAAATCGACCATAACTTTGAAAATAATCGAACTATCTGGGTCAAATTTATAGTTTCTTGAAGAGAAATATCGGATGCTAAAAACTAAATAGCCTACATTGATATAAACGAATAAAAAATTTTGTAAAATTGCCAAAAATAAAGAGGTACCCAAATTATTACCATTTTATCGATTTTTATGTAAGTTTCTTCTTGAAGCCATAACTTCGGCTAGATTCACTAGTTTGACATGAATGAGCATGATTTGGAAAGAGGAGACTCTCAGTAAAAAATATAAATTATAATAAAAATATAGCTAACTAAATTCCGAAGTTATGGTAAAAAATACAAAAGACTAAAATTGTTGTTCCTTTGGTCATTTTCAGATCAAGTTATATTAATCACCCATAACTTTGAAAAAAATGGAATGAACTTTGTAAAGTCTCTTGATTTTTGAAGAGAAATATCGTAAGGTAATATTTAATCCCATTACAATTATATAGCCGAAGAAAAAATTAATTATATAGCCAACAATAAAGAGGTACCCAAATTATTAAAATTTAATCGATTTTTCGGTAAGTTTCTTCTTGAAGCCATAACTTCGGCTAGATTCACTAGTTTGACATGAATGAACATGATTTGGAAACAGTAGACTCTCAGTAAAAAATATAAATTATAATAAAAATATAGCTAACTAAATTCCGGAGTTATGGTAAAAAATATAGAAGACTACAATTTTTGGTACTTGGGTAATTTTCTTAGTAAGGTCATTAAATCGCCCATAACTTTGAAAATAATCAAATGATCTTAGTAAAATCTCTTGATTTTTGAAGAGAAAAATCGTATCGTAACATTTAATCCCATTACAATTATATAGCCGAAGAAAAAAATAATTATATAGCCAACAATAAAGAGGTACCCATAACTTTAGCTACGCTCAATAGTTTGACATGAATGAACGTGAGTTGGAAACAGGATGCTCTCAGTATTAAATAGAAATTATAATATAAATTTAGCCAACTATATCCCGGAGTTATGGTAAAAAATATAGAAGACTACAATTTTTGGTACTTTGGTAATTTTCTTAGTAAGGTCGTTAAATCGCCCATAACTTTGAAAATAATCAAATGATCTTAGTAAAATCTCTTGATTTTTTAGGAGGAATATTGTATCGTAATATTTAATCCCATCACAATTATATAGCCGAAGAAAAAATTTGTTACATAGCTAAAAATAAAGAGGTACCCAAATTGTTACTATTTTATAGATTTTTTTGGTAAGTCTCTTCTAGAAGCCATAACATTGGCTACGCTCAATATTTTGACATGAATGAACATGATTTGGAAAGAGGAGACTCTCAAGAAAAAATATAAATTATAATAAAAATATAGCTAACTAAATTCCGGAGTTACGTTAAAATATACATAAGACTTTAATTTTTGGTACTTTGGTAATTGTTTTAGTAAGGTCATTAAATCGCCCATAACTTTGCAAATAATCAAATTATCTTAGTAAAATCTCTTGATTTTTTAGGAGGAATATTGTATCGTAATATTTAATCCCATCACAATTATATAGCCGAAGAAAAAATTTGTTACATAGCTAAAAATAAAGAGGTACCCAAATTGTTACTATTTTATAGATTTTTTTGGTAAGTCTCTTCTAGAAGCCATAACATTGGCTACGCTCAATATTTTGACATGAATGAACATGATTTGGAAAGAGGAGACTCTCAAGATAAAATTGAAATTACAATATAAATTTAGCCAACTATATCCCGGAGTTATGGTAAAATTGTAGAAGTGTCGCACTTTTTGAAAGTTGTCCATTTTCTGAGTAAGGTTATTAAAACGATCATAACTTTGAAAATAACTGGAATATTTTGGTGAAATCTTCAGATTATGCAAGAGGAATATCGTATTTTAAAAATCAATATACCTTGTGTTAATTTAACTTATCAAAAAGTACTGATATGGCACATAATATATAGGAACTCATGGTGATCAAAATTTATCTTTTTTTCGTAAGCCTCTTGTGGAAGCCATAACTTTTGCTACGTTCAATGGATTTACATGAATGACCATGTTTTGGAAAGTGGCGACTCTCGGTATAAAATATAAATTCTAATATTAATATAACTTGCAACATAGCAAAGTTATGTTAAAAATTCTGGAAGACTTTAATTTACTTTGTTAATTTTCTTAATAGACCGATTAAATCGATTATAACTTTAAGCATGATTATTTTAGTAAAATTTAAAATAATAATTACCATATCATAAAAATATAGTTGAAAATCAAAAATACTTGGCCGTATACGTATTGTCAACACGTATACGCCACTACACAACAATAATTATTATTACGTTTCCAAAATTCTCCTTCTGTGTGCGTTTTGGCTCTCCTGTCCCTCCCATCTATTCTATGTTATCATCAATGACTTCTAAATATATTTCTTTATTTTTTGTGAGTACATACATAATTGTTGATACTCGTATATATGAAACACCATCATTACTCATTCCATTGGCGGGGGTTTTTTTCCAAAACCAAAAACCACAAACAAACAAAAACAAATGTTTGAGAGCATAAAAAGAAAGAATAAAGAATGGAAAAACCAAAATAAAATACGATGACCTTGCATAACAATGCTTCCAATCAATTTCCGTTTGGACTCTTGGACTTTGAATTCCCAGCGTTATTTCTCCTCTCTCTCACTCACCCACTCACGAAACTATATATGGGAGCTATATCTACATCTGAATCGATTTTCACGAAACTTAGCACACATCATTCTGGAGTTAATTCAGTACGCTATACCAAATCTATAGGTTCGAAGAATATATAGGTTCTTAGGGAGCTATATCTAAATCTGAACCCATTTTTACGAAACTTAGCCAACATCATTTTAGACTCAATTTAGTAAGCTGTGCCAAATTTCGTGCAAATTGGAAGATATTTAGGGTCTTTGGTGCACCATTTACATTAAATCGGTCGAAAATATATATATGGGAGCTATATCTAAATCTGAACCGATTTTTCCCAATTTCAATAGGGTTCGTCCTTGGGTCAAGTAAGTGACCTATGCTAAATTTCATCCAATTCGGATTATAAATGCGACCTGTACTTTGTTTACAATTTTACATCGACAGACAGACGGACGGACGGACGGACATGCATAAATCGACTCAGAAAGTAATTCTATGCATATTCTCAAAAGGAACCATGTGTCAATCTCGTTTCATTTTGCCTGTTACAAACATATGTACAGAGACATAATACCCTGTACCTCAGTGTGTTGAAGAGCATAAAAATACATTTTTGGACGAAACGTGGAGTTACAATTTTTTTTGAGGATTAACTGATTTTTTTATATATTTTCCTATGTCTTATTACAAACTTTCATTTTTAAAAAATATTTACAAAGCCTTACAGAAGGGGTTATTTAAAAAAAAAAGTTTCAAGGACTAACTGAAGCTTGCTTTGATTTTTGAGGATTTTGAAAAGTATTCTGCCTTGGTTTCAATATTTAGTGGTATGATTTTTGAGCCGTATACGTGATGACAATACGTATACGTTACCTTAGGAATATAAAATATTATTGATTATCCAGAATTCTGAATTAAAAAAATGACTATTTTTTAATGTTCAAAACTTGCCTTTGTAAATTTATTTTATCATATTAAAACATGAATTAACGATATTTTAGTACTTACCATATATTGTGAAATAGTTGAAATAATTCGCAAATTAATCCAAAAAAATCCTGTCACCTTTCAGTTTTGGTACCCAGGATTCAATGTGGGTCTCTCCGTACACTTTCTTTAATAGAGTCTGCAAAAATTTTAAAATAATTATTTTTTTAATATTTATTTGAAATTAACGTTTCTTAATTATTTCGAAAATAAATTATTTAATTCAAAATAAATCGCGTCGTCTCTAGCCATTTAATTGTTAATAGTCACTGGTAAATGGGTTTTGAAAAAAATTCAATTTTCTCACATTCAGAAAATGCAAAAAAAAAGAAAAAATGAACAACAAAATAACAAATTATCTATTTCATGATAAATAAAAAAAAACAAAATAGCAACAACAACAAAATTACAAAAAATACAATACAATGTTTATAGAATCGAATCGATTTCGGGAGAGAAACGAGAAGAATTCTTGGCTTGCCGTTGGGTCGAAATGGGGGAGAGACGTCAATATCTAATCACCATTATAAAAAGAGGGGAAGAGAGAGCCTCGAGATGGGGGAAGGGGCCCTCACTGCCCACAAAAAAATACTACACGTGATTGTCAGTGTATGTGTGTGTGTGTGGGAAGGTAGATAGAGGTTGGGGTTAACCCATACAATGTTATACTTTGTAGGTGATTTTGTTTCCGCTCTCTCGTGATTTGAAGATTTCAATCTGAATAATTTTGTATTTGTTTATTTTTGTTTGGATTTTTTCTTGATTTTGCAAAAATATTTAAATTTATTTTTTCGAAAAGCTTTATTTTTTGTTAATTGGGTACTGTTGGCGTATAAATTGTGGGTGGGGTTGGGGCCGTCAGTTGTTGTTTTTTTTTCTCGAACACTAGGCCAATCTGTCGTTTTGATTAGTTCCCCACACTCTCTCGCATTGACGTTGTTATTGTTATTATTCTTTTTCTTCTCCTCTTCCTCGTTTATTCATGTGACGTTTCCAATATTTTTCTTTTTTTCAATTCATTTATTTATTTGTTGAATTTGTTGTTGATATTTTGTTGTTATTTTTTTTTCTGTTCTTTCTTATTATTGGCATTTCTCTTTTGTTTAACTCATTCGTTTTTGGCATTTTGATTTTTATTTTTCCGTATTGTGGTGGCGGAGCATTCTCCTCCTCATCGTCGTCGTCTCTGTCTTCGTCATCATCGTCACCGCCACCGTCAGAACTTATGTCACTATAAACAATATTGACCTAGGTTTTGTTGTTGTAAATTAAAATTAATTACTTTTTGTTGTCGGATTGTTGCTGTTGTTGTTGCTATTATTGTTGTGACGAATTCTAAGAATTTTAATATTATTTTTTTTGTGTTTTTGCAAAATGAATTTACACAATTTTATTATTTGCGGTGACTGTTGTTGTGGTTGTGTACTGGGGGTTCTATTTTCTAGGGAATTTTTAGGAATAAAAAAAGTTAAATTTCACAACAGGAAATAGTGGAGAAGAAAGGGAAAGAGGGGGGAAGAAGAGGGAATAAACTACAAAAACCTATTAATGATGACAATATGTGGATTTACAGCATTGAATATTTAAATTTATAGGTAGGCTTTCTAGAAAACTCCCATATTTTTATACCCTACACAACTATGTTGTCAGGGTATTATAGCTTTGTGCAGCCCCACGAGTTTGTAAATATTGGTCGTAGACCCACATTTAAGTATACCGATCGTCATATCTCGACTAGCTGAGTCGATCTAGGCATGTGTGTCCGTCCGTCTGGCCATTATAATTTGTAAACACGATACAGGCCACAGTTATGGACCAATCTTTACGAAATGTTGCATGTAGAATGGGTTCTGGCCAATGAAGACCCCTATTGTTTTTGGGAAAGATCGGTTAATATTTAAGGGATGAAATGGACCAAAAACTTTATTTTTGTCTGATTTTCTGATCGCTATAGATGCCGAAATTGTCGTCCAAACAGGGACAAGGGGATCCGTTCAAAGAATAAGCATGCTTGTTTCGATAAAGATCGGTCAATATTTAGCGGTTCAAATGGATCCGGACTTTTGTGTGAAAAATTACAAAATTTGTATTCTATGGCGTATATATTTACCTCTGAAATATAGACCCGAGAAGTTGATAGTATATCCAAGAGGAGTGGTTGACCTTTAAATTGATACCAATTATATGGTCGTATGTACTCGGATGCGGGAGTTACACTTAAATATTTACAGGGGCTTATGTATTCAGATATTATTTAATAACCCTTTACCACACTAGAGGGCGAAAATATAGCGCTGATCGCTTTGGAATGTTCCATGAAATTCCAGTTATGGTCAAGGATGGTTATGGTCAAGGATGTGATGAAGTGGATCGAAAACTTAATTTTTTGTGTTTTTCGAGTCGATCTATAGGCTCCAATGGGACTAAGAAGATCACAACACAAGGGAAGGGAATCTAGACAAGTAATTAGAAGGGCTGTACTGAACATTACATACTTATATTCAAATATATTTCGCTATATTTGAATGTAAGTATGTATTGCCTAAGCTCAGAATATAGATCCACAGAAAGTTAGTTTTTCGTGGAAGTTGTGTAGGGTATCATATGGTCGGCCCCGTCCGACTATACTGCTCCGCTCACTGGTTTAAAACTGGATTCATTATTTTTTTATATTAATATTTGTCCTCTACTATAACAGTGTAATGCCGTATACGTGATGACAAAATGTATACGCTCCCCAACGATTGAAAAATATTAACACTTATTAATATTTTTCGCCTTGAAGGTCTCCAAATTATCTTCATCTTAAAATTAATAAATTATTTTTCAATAATATTTTTCAAGCGGGAATTTTTTTATAAATTACAAGTCTTATTTTTTTATTTCTTAACAACTTTTAAAATATATTTGCAACTACTTTTAAAATTCTGGGGTTTTAAAAAGTTATTTTTAAATGACAATATAATCGTTGAATTGTTTTAAATTCTTTTTTCATCTATTTAAAAAAATGGATATTTAAAAATTAGTTGCCCTTTATTATTATAGAGTAGACGCATACCCGTTTACGACATGTATACGCCCACCTATTACTGGCAAATGTTATTAAGTATACGCTTTTAAGATCTCAAACCGCTTGCACGGTGATTTTTTATAAATTATTTTCAATAAATATTACAATCTGAATTTCATAAAACTTAATTTTCCGCATCTCTTATATCCATCCAGAATTTTTTTGAATGTTTAAATTAATTTTTTTCCAAGACAATCTCCAGCGTTTATTTTTTTAAAAAAACTATCGAATTTTGTTTAGTCGAATTCTGTAAAAATATTTTTCTTCCACTATTACAGGGTAGACGTATACGTGCTGAAAAACATGCATATGCTCCCCTATGACTGCCAAATATTATTCCGTATTTTAGATTTTTTGAGGGCTCTATAAAAGGCGTGGATTTATTAAATATTGTTTTAGAGACTCTATTAAATATTTTTTCAGCGGGGATTTATGAAATGTTTTTCAGGACTCTATTAAAGGCGTGGGTTTATTAAATAATTTTTTATGGCTCTATAGAAGGCTTGGATTTGTTTAATAATTTTTTCAGGGCTCTATAAAAGGCATGGATTTATTAAGTAATTATTTTAAGGCTCTAATTTATAAGGATTTGCAAATTAATCCTTCTGTCAATCCAGTAGCCATTTTATTTAAATTTCTCCCCACGAATAACAAAGAAGGATTTTCGTCTATTACAGTGAAGTTTCGTATACGTGTTGATAACATGTATACGCACCCCTCTAACTGGCAAATATTGTTAAGAATAAGTCGTAAATATCTCAAAATGTATTTTCACTAAAAGATTTAATAGTCTTATTAACGATTATTAAAATACTGGATTTTTTAAATATTATTGTTTGGAAATTACAATTGTGAATATTTTTTTAAAAACGACTATTACTGTGTAGTGCCGTATCTGTGTTGACCATATGTATACGCACCCCATATGACTGGCAAATAATAATAATAAGCATTCGCCTTAAAGATCTCAGAATATCTGCTGACGAAAAGGTTTTCTTTTTGATAAGTCTTGAATAATGGAAAACTCATTTTAGAATTTTTGAAATAGAGTGTAGGTATTTAAAATAATTATTCATTCAAGTAGTTTTTTAAAAAAATATTTTTAATATATTTTCCTGGAAGGGATTTTAATTTTTACATTTTACCAATTACATGGATTGAATTTTTTAAAAAAAATATTAGTTATCGACTATTACAACGGGGTCGAATACGTGTTGACAACATGTATACGCACCGCTATGGGGTAAATGTTATTATTAAGTATACGCCTTGAAAGTCTCAAAATTGAGGAGGACTCATTCTAGCAATGTTTTGTAAAAATTGGGTACATTTTTTTAAAATATTTTTCAACAACATTTTGCAAGCATTTTTAGCAAAAATCGCAATATTTTTAATCTTTCAGTTTTTTTTTAATACAAATAATAATGGAATTTCATAATATGCCATGGTAAATTTTAGGAGAAAAATTAAAGACCAAACTATAGGCATTCAGTTTGGAAATTGGGTTAGGATCAGCTTGACCATATCGAAAATGAGGCGAGAAATATGTATGGGGTGTATACAAATATAAAAATGGAGTTATATTGCAAAATGTTCTCTGAAGAACTTGTTTACCGACCATGGCACCAAATTGCCAAATTACAGTCACTTTTTAATGTCGAAATATAGTGTCTTTTGGTGGAAAATGCTTCTAGGCCCATAAAATGCCTATAAAGTGGCTAAACCCTATAAAGTGGCTAAACCCTCCCATTGAGAAAGTCAAATCGGTTGAAAATGTCCCCAAAATATAAACAGTGGACCAATATTGATCTTTTCTGTGCATTTTCTACCAATTGATAATCCAAACTACTAAATTACAGCCAATTTTGATGAACATTTCCGAACTTTTGAAGATACATAAAAATGGTGCCTGCCCCAAAAAAATTAGAATCATATTAATAATTTTTATTACAGAAATTTTCTACCCAATGAAATTAAAC